AAATTCTGCCAATTTGCCAAGCAACCAAAGTTTAGTTGATTACTGCTGGATGGAAGGTTCGACTTTATCCTGCGGCAGCTGGTTCACTCGCTCCTTTTCGACGACCACCTGACCCGTGGATAGTCCCGGAACAGGGTTCAGCGTGGAACGCGACTCACGCAGCAAATGGGGTATTTACGACGGACTCCTGGATCAAGGTCTTCTTTGCGGAGGTCAAACTTGTATTCCGGTTGGCTCTGGTCACGAAGCAGCCCAATCGCAAGTGTGACGAGGCTTCCAACGTGGGGCGTTGCCTCTCGCGCATGCCTAAATCTATTGCTCTTCGGCCACTTGATCCTCCAGTTTTATTTTGGAAGCAGGTGGTTTGTTAATTATTTGTTTTGCGGCCCGCCGCCTGGGGGGTGTTTAAAGGAATGCATCTTTCTGGGTTATCTTCACCGCGGAGATAGTGCTGTTGCGAGAATTTGCTAGTACAGCTGAATGGCGTTGAGTTGGGATTTCAGGGATTGTAACAGGGCGGGGCGCAGAACGCGAGGCTGACGAGCCCCTGAAAAGGGGCACTTTTGCACCAGACCAGCCCAGCCCAGGGTGATGAACATGATGCGGAGTACGGAGCACCTAGGGTGCCGTTACGGTGTTATTATAGCATTGAGGTTAGCATGCCATTTTTCTTGGATAATGACAATTCACGATACTATAAGCTATGCCTGGTCTGACTCTGACTCTGGATCTGACTGGTTTTCACTGCGGCAACGCCCTACAGTACCTGCCCAACCAAGTATAGACCATGGAGTACCAACTCCGTACCTCTCGCGATATTCTATCCAGGACCAACTGTATCATGCGTTGGTTCGCTCTAGCTCGCGGCCTGTTATAGTTTGTCTGTCTTTATACATCTCGCGAGGACGCAACGTAAGAATAAATAATAACAATAGCAAAAATAACAACAAAAAGAAGGAGATTCGTGAACACCTTCGTCGCTGAACACCGTTGTCATCGCCATCAAGATCCAGTCAAGTTGTTGTCACCGGCAATCCGAACCGAACCATGGATGATGTCGGGTAGGTCGAACTTTTTTGGGTCCCCTTTCGCCGAAAATCCTCTTTCCTTACCTTACCTCCTTCCCTGGTGTTTTATCCAGCTCTTCTTGCTATATATACGTGGACACAGTTCCCATCGGGAGAGGGGCGAGGTCGTACGGGGTCCCAAGTGCACGGCCTTCCTTCTTTTTCCCTCCCATTCTCTTTCTTGTTTTGCTTCACCTTTCTATATCTCCTTCAAAAAGCCTACCTCGATGAGCTTCTCTGTCGGCACCGCCAAGTTGGACATCTTGGTTCTCGTGTTGTCTTTCATCCACAGAAACAAAGACAGGAGTGTCCTTCGGAAGTAGTTCGTGCCGTTTTTGATGGTCAACTGCTCCTTGCCCATTATATACATTACCTTGTATCCAAATGCACGGTCCAGACGCGCAAGAAGGGCTTCCGTGCGCTTCTCGAGGTCGTGATCCTCTTGTAGGCGGACTTTCCGTGGGAATTGAAATTTTTCTTCCGTCTCAGTGCCTGTGCCCGTCTCGCTGCATGTAGTGACAGCATCTTCTACGGCGCATTCGTCGCTGACGAGCACAGGATCGGCATTCATTTGCGACTTCAACTTCTGTTCGGACAGGATGTACGCTCGGATCTGCTCGTAGATGACAAACGACAGGTCGGGGGTCATGACTTCGTCGTTATAGCCGTATCTCACGACTAACCGGTAGCAGTGCGGGATAGCCAGTTTCGACACGGTGTGCCGGTCTGATGGCGGCACGGAAGGCGTCTCCAGTGGGCGAAGATGGAAGAATACTGACACCTCAGGCATCGCGGTGAGTTTTATAGCGAATTGGCTAAACACGATCGGTGTAGTCTCACCCCCCTTGTCAAAGAAGATGCCAAACCCGTTGATGGTGCTGAGGGCTGTGCCGTGGAATCTTTCTGTGAGATGCAGACCATCAGACCCTTTCTTGACGAAATGGGAAGTCGGGAATCGGTCTTCGGCTTCAACAAGCCATTGCTGCTCCTTGCCAAAGCGCCAGAGCATAAAGACCATGCCCAGAACGAACGCGAGCGTAAGAGTAAACCAGGCTCCATCAGGCACCTTGGTGAGGGCTGAGGAGAGGAATGTGCCGTCCAAGCAAGCGATCGTAAGCCAAGGTAGAAAAACGAGGAACGGACTGAAACGCCACACGAAGATAGCTGTCAACGACACCATACATGTGTCGAAGAAAGTGACGAACATAACGCAAACACCGTAGGCATTTCCGAGCGAGGTCGTATTGTTGTAAATTGAGGCCACAAGGATTGTGCCAATCATGAGAAGCCAATTCGCGAGAGGAATGTACAGCTGGCCATGGAAGATCTTCGAGGTGTGTTTGACCGTTAGTTGTGGAAAATATGACAATTTCATAACTTGGTGGAGGAGCTGAGGATGGTTAGCTAAAAGCCCGTGCGCGTCACAGTCGTGCAGTTGCCTACCTGGAATGTGGCAGTAATAATAGCTTGTGAAGCGACAATGGCCGCAAGAATGGCGATAATGAGAGACGGGTAGATGGTGCCTGGAGGCGCAGCCTCGAAAAATGGATTTGAGTATGCTTCTGGATGAACGCTGATATAGGCTGCTTGGCCGATGTATGCCAGAAGGAGACATGGAAATGTGTAGCACAGCCAACTGAGCTGAATTGCCCTGCGGCTGAATGCTCCTAAGTCGGCAAATAACGCCTCGACCCCCGTGAAGGCCAGCAAAACCCCCCCGAGCATTCTCCATCCATGTTCACCGTGATGGATCAAGAACTCAAATGCGTAGCCGGGATTGAAAGCTCGAAAGACCGAGGCATCATATTTTGCTAGATTATAGATTCCGAAAACGGCGTTGAACCCAAGCCAGATGATAACGATGGGAGAAAATGCGAAAGTAATCTTGGTAATACCGAAAGGCTGGACGAGGAACAGGAGGACGAGAATGGCGTCGGTAATGCCGATAATAGCACCTTTGGAGATGCTAGGATTCACCACCCGGGCACCTTGAACGGCACCGAGAACGGATTGCGCAGGTGTGAGGACGCCATCGGACAGGACCATAGAGACAGCCAAAACACCCATGGTCTTGAGGAGGCCGCGTGCCAGACGACTTGATTCGAGGCCCTTGCGCATGACACGCCCAGCGTTTTCGAGATCACCCGAGGCGTGTCTCTTTATCCTTATCAGAGAGGCTTCTCTTGGGTCGCGATTCGTGATGTTCATGTAGCGGCTTAGGAGGGAGTACGTGCTGAATGTGCCTCCTTCACCCTCATTATCTGCATGCAGAACGATTATGATGTATTTGACGGTCACCATCATGATAAGAGACCAAATGATGAGGGACAATACGCCTATCAGATCCTCATTTGATGGCGCAGAGGTGAAGGTTGACGAGTAGACGTAAAGAGGACTGGTACCGATGTCTCCATAAATGACTCCAATTGATTGATAGGCGAGCCAGAGAAGCATCTTGCCACTGAAGACCTATGTCCGGATCAGTCGAGTTAACGCAGGGCACGGTAAGTGAACCGTACCTGCTTCTCCTTAAAGTCGCCCTCTTTTCGCAGGCCGGGGTCCTCATCTTGCTGCACCGACCTTGAGCGGTACAGCGTCAGGTCATGAGAGGACCTCCTCGAGCGCATGTTGTAAATGCCATCATCGTGTGTGTAGATCGAAGTTGAGTCCGCGGGCCGCCCTTCCTTGCTTTGGAGCTCATTTTTGGGATGAATCTCGTCAGCAATGCGAATCGTAGCCATCGCAACAAGCAGGGTTGAGATTCAAACCGGACAAGAAAGCAAAAGAGGGGTGAAAGAAGAAGAAAACGGGTGGAAGACTGGGCACGCGAGAAGGGGAAAGTGGGCAGGTCGGGAACTTTTTAAAGCGGAGGAAGTATCACTGATGGTGGGACATGGCACCATGGCATCACAGGCACATCAACGTGAGGCCAGACCGGCGCGGCCACAAGAATCAGGATCCAGTGAATGGAACATGGTCGAGCATGTGCTGAAGAACACATGGGTTGTGGCCGAGCTTGGCTCTTTCAGGTCAAGGATATGCTAGTCGCCCAAAGACCTTGCGGTGTGGCCATCTCAGCGGTTTGCATGGGTCATGTAACCAGGTTAGTCATGTCGTGATGGGAGATATAGCTTGACCGTCCACAGGAAATGCAGAGTTGGCATGCAGCGCAGCCCAGGGGAATCGGGCACTGGGACACGCCCAAATTGGAATGTAGATGCATTGTTTTTGCCATCGTCTGCGGGCAGCGAAGCACGATCCGTGCGTGCGAGCGCAGGGTTTTCGTCTGGAATGAAGAGCTAGGTAGCTAGGTAGCTGGGCAGCTGGGTACGGGATGAGGTGGCCTTGTTTGTGTTGTTGGAGCATGCGTAGGAGTGGGAGCTGTGGGAGTGAGAGTGTGAGGGAGAGTGGACAATGTGAGGAATCGCTGCGCAGTCTTGGCATCTAGCTGCGTCGTTCCGTCTAAGCAGACGCAAAGGATTGGCCGCCCACCTGCTTGCACGCTCCATTTGTATGAGAGATTTTCTGTCGAGTGGAGTTTCATTCCACCTCCTTCTTGCCGGCGAGACGGAACAGGCAATTGAAAGCTTATGTCGACTCTCTTGTCTGTATCAGGATATCAGTCTGGATCAATCTCACCCATCTCGATCAGCTCCCTCCCCACGACCCTGAACCTGAAGCCCAGCCAGGTCACCCAGGAAGATAGCCAGAGCATCCGTGTGGACATCTCCACTGTTGTTGTTATGTAAAAAGACCTTTATCCATGTCTGTGAGCATGAGCCATTTCTCTCGATCTGACCTTGGGATGCAGCGAGGAGGTATACAAGTACAAGAAGATACTTGTGGCAATATGAGGGAGCCATCGTCCCCTACCTGGCCTTTCTCCCTGTTTCAGCGTGTCTCTCTTCCATCTCGCTCATCGGGTTCTCTTCCATGGCGACAGCGCCACAGCCTGTCTCTCCTGCCAACTCGGGTCGGCACAGGACTGTGATCACCGTGGCCGTTATCGTGGCAGTTATTGGTCTCATCATCTTCTCGGCCATCTGGGTGAGGCGTCACAGCCCGATCCGAAGGCTCGACGAGTTACAGTTGCAAGCCGAACTGCAACGCTCTGGACTTCGGCGGCGTCGACGTCAACAAGAACAACGAGAAAAGGGCATTGGCATCTCTTTGCTCCAAAGCATCCCAGTAGTCAAATATGATGGCGACCCCGGGAAAATACGACGCACTAAGAGCTTGGATTTGGAGAAGGGACACCAGAACCGGGACGCTCACAACTGGTCTTTGGAGCAAAGCCAACATAACATCAAAGAAATGCATGCAGAAATGATGGAGATCGGCAAAACCCCTCACAGAAAGGAAAAGGAGGGAAATCAAAAGAAATCTGACCTTGAATCAGAGGAGCCAGAGTGTCCTATCTGCACACAACCGTTTGTGAAGAACGAGTTTCTTCGAGTCCTTCCTTGTGGCCATCGACACCACCAGAGATGTGTCGACCGGTGGCTGCTGGGCTTCGGCGGAACATGTCCTGTTTGGTAGGTGTCTATCCAAAGTACCTTTCCGGAGCAGGTAGCTAACTTCTTTACAACAGTCGCGTGCACATGGACTCTTTCTACCTGCAATCCGCGGAACCACTCGATCTTCCAATGAAGCCAGAGCCCGTTGTAGTGACCGGTGAAGATCTTGAAGATAGTCACCATCACCGACCGGATCTATAATCAATGTCATATTGTCTGCAAAGGTATGACGAGCTCGTGTCCAACTGGAGTAATGATATCGCTGCCTTTCAAGTAACATCTCGCCGGGCTCGTCTTACACTGGGAGGGTGTCGCTTGGTGGTAGTCCTCGTCAGACACCTCTCATGCCACATAATCGTAGTAAACGACAATCCCCTTCTCTGTTGTCCATTAGTATTATTAAGCTGCAGCGATTATCAAGGAACCTGCCTTTCCGTTCCACGGGTGTTTTTTTTTTCTCTTTTCCGGGAGGCCGCGGATTCTGACAGGTGGTTTCTGCGTCCCGCTACGTGCCTTGCTGCTCTCTCGAGCGTTCGCTAGACTTCCGCTAATAATCGAATGGCGTCTACCTGGTAGATACAAGGATGAAAAATTCCAACAGACAGCCAGAATAAGGGTCCACGAATAAGCAAGAGGAGATTTCGTGGAGCGATCAAGATATTTCCTAATGATGCCTGCCTAAATATCCTATTCCCATAGCCCAATCACTTCGCAGTGGCAGCGTCCTCGCTATCTCGCTTGTCTTCACAGATCCATTTGCGTCCACACCAGGCCTTTGCTCTTCGACTTATACGCTGAGGCCTAGCTTTTCGAGCCGTATCCAACGCCGAGAAATGCCTCCGCTCCCTTTCCTCCCGCGGGGTACCCGGGTGATATCTTCGAACCACACAGTTCTTGACGTTGAACAGAAGAGAAAATTTGGCGGCTGTTACGTACCATACCGCAACGCCAGAGCAGAAGTGTCTTAACGCTGCAGAGAGGACGACAGGACCTTTCTTGAGATATGTCACCTGACCTGAAATATGCTTGACTCGGATATCAACCAGGGAGCGCCACAAGACTGACGAGACAAGACTCAGGCGAGACCGCAGATGTCGAGCCAGTAGAAAATTGTTCCCCAAATCAACCAAGGCCATCTTTGCAACCTCTGCCTTTGGATCATTCGTGAAGGCACCCTGAGGGTAGAGTGACCTACGACTCTAAACCTTCTACGAGGTACCGGGTAGTCAGACCACGTTCTGAGCGCTTGGTTTGTGCTCGGGCTTATCCGGCGCCTCAGAAACACATTTGTCGCAATTCTCCCTCTGTGGAACTTCACCATGCTGGAAAGTCGCAATTGATTAAGGAGCTTGGACATCGTGCAATAACGGCCAAAATCGACCGAATCTTTTGAACACCTCCATTTCGTTCCCTTTACGAGGTGCGCTACTTAACGGTCTAATTATCTAAGGGGGGTGAAACGAACCCATTTGATTCGGATCCTGCCAATCCGGATGTCCCTACGCTGTCAGGGGTCTCATTCTTTCAACGGCCCCCAAACTCGGATCTCCCAACGGCTGGTTTAATAATTCGACGTGGCTAATGGCAGCGATTTTCGCAGATCGTGCGGCATTCGGGTCTCAACCAGTGCCGAAAGTAGCTGGCCGCCTTAAAGCTCGACTCCTTTTATTGTCTTTCTGCCTTGCACCCCCCGCGACACGTTTGGCCCCTGTCAATGGAAGGTCCGGACGAGAAGGACATGTGATTTCTACGTTATGGAAATGGAACGGTAAGTGCAGGAACTCTGTCGCACAGGGGCAAAGGCTAGCCTCGTATCTCGTGAACTGGGATGTCTGCCTTTTTGCCTGGCAAGATGTCCTTCAATACTTCTGCGGTTAGGCAAAAGTTGGGCGCCCCTTTCCTTTCCCTGGAGTTTCTAGGAACACTCTGTAGTCTCTATCCCTTGAACGAAAAATACACCATTCACGCGTCTAACAAGCCACATTTGTGCCGCTACTGGCAAAATGTCGCACAGAAATGTGCCGGCGGCCATCTATTCCTCTGATGCAGCCCGCGATTCCACAACGACTTCGAGTGCGACGACAGAAAAATATCCAGCAAACAACTCAATGTATCAACCGTTTCCTGAGGTCGTGACCCAGCCACCTTCTCAACCTCTGCAGTCTCACCAGCAGCCAGGGCCTGTCTACCATCAACAGCAATATCAATATACAAATGGCTATGCAACAGAAGCAAGCCAGCCACCGACACGTCCTCTCAAGCCCAATCCCTGGGACTTGTCGCCGCTTGCATTCGGACTATTGATCGCAGCAATTACCGCTCTGGTGGTAGGTGGAGTGGTGGGTGGTGGTGTTGCGGGAGCGTTATCGGGACACGACTCGAGTTCATCAAGGTAAGGACAACCTCGACCGTGTAGGTAATCAATATGCTGAATATATCCAAGTACACGTGTGTCAACGGCGACTGTCACTTCAGGCGCAACAGCAACAGCAACACAGTCATTATCATCAACTACCACCTCCTCCGGCCTCCCCTCCCCATCATCGCTAGAAAATTTCGTCGTCCCTGAGCCCTACTACGTCGATACGTTGCAAAACCCCGGCTGTGCAGACAGCAACTCGCGTATCGACGTTCAACACGACGCCTCTTTCGATATCTTTTGCGGTCTCGACATGATAAACCATGTTGCCGATGAAAACAACCCTGACTTGCAGGTTGCTGATGTTGTGGGGCTGTTCGCTTATAGCCTTACCGACTGTCTGTATGCTTGCTCGAACGCGATATATTTCAGACAGTTGTACGGTCAAGATAGCGCAAGCGGAAACATGCAGACGTGTGCCGGGGTTACCTGGGATTATCAGATGGCATCTAGCAACTCTTCGAATTATGCCAATTGAGTTGTAACTATCACCGGTGACAACCTATGGAGGTGGTCACTGCCGATGTCACTGCCTTTGTTATGTCACTGCCTTTGTTGTGTCACGCCGGCGACGCGTGGGTAGCACGTGAGAGCCTTTTTACATAAAGGCTTCTCGAACCTCTGTAGTCACTTAGATAATTAATCAATCATCTATCTCTCCTTCAGAGGTTCCTACTGGTTATGAGTTCCTTTCTTGGGTTCTCTTTGAAGTGGTGAGGTAGTCAAGAGAACGGCGAACGCCAAAATGCCTGCCAAAACCCTCACCATCGGAGGGGGCAGCATCAGCGTCCAAGTTCTTGAAGGTTCATCAACTTACCTGACGTGGAACCAAGACATCAAGTCTGCGTGCACGCGTCAGAAGATCTGGAAGTTGGTCACGGGTGAAGAGAAAGTCCTGGAGAAGCCAGAACGACCACCTGCCGGCTCGAAGGTTGAAGATCGCGAAACGTACAAATGGGACAGGGAGGATTTTGAGAAACAACAGGAACAAATCAAAGACGCCCTTGAAATCCTGACCGAATCCGTCCATGCCTCCATTCGCGCCAGCATTCTCGACTTCAACACTCCGAAAGAGATCTTCGATCATCTGAAAGCGCAATATGAGCCCAACAAATCTCGCAGCCTCATCACCGCGCTCAATCAGATGGAAGGCATCAGCTGGAAGGCAAACACCAACATCACCACTCTTACCAATCTCCTCCGGCAAGCGAAGATAAATATCGAGGCTGCTGACGGTAAATACGACAACGCGCTGATGATCGCAAAACTCTCTCGCACTCTTCCGAAAGAATATGACGACTTCATCTCCCGCAACATCGATCTTACCGCAACCATGCCTACCTTCGACGCCCTCATCACAGACCTCATCTCGTATGAGGCTCGTTTTGTTCATCGCCATAAGTCAACCACTCAAGAAGCCGAGGGTAAAGAGGATGGCAAGAAGGACAAAAAGAAGAAGAGTGATCGACCTCGCTGTGATAAACCCCCTGGCTGCGGCCTCTATGGTCACACCAACAATGAATGTCGCAAGCTCCATCCTGAGCTCGGTCCCATTCCCAGCAAGAAGGACGGTACCAACGACAAGAAGGCCGAGTCGAACAACGGTAAAGACAACAATAAGTCCGGCCAGCACTCGCAGTCTGGTCAAGCAAAGCCGAAGGTTGTTCAAGAGCTTGGTGCCATGGTCTATGTCGACGAACAACACCTCCAGCGTCAACTCGCTGACACGAAGAAGTATCATTCTGAGAACGCCCTGAGTACGTCATCTTCCCCAGCCTCGACACCACCCAAAACCCATGCTGATGTCTCCCTCCAGATCGTCCAATTTAGGCGCAAAGGAAAGCTCAGTAATGAGGAAACGGGTGGTGGACCACGAGGACTGGATGGCGGAAAGGGGCAGGTGGATTACCACAGCGCACCTATGGCGCGTTCTCAGAATAGCTTCCGTAATGCAAACACCACAACGATAGTGTTTCACAACTACTTCTCTCCCTTATCCTCTGTATCCTTGGAGTCATCGCCCGGGTCCGCCAGAACGAAGCGTCGTAACGCTAATCGTCGACGAGCCAAAGGGGGTAGGAAGACTGAATCCGAGGCAATCATCGCCCGCACCGAACCGAAAGTTTGCGGCTCAGTGTATGGCACATATGTCCTTGTTACAGGAGTTGTCAGCACTTTCCTCTGTATCGTCCTGGCAACGGGCTGGTACACCCACGCCATGGTAATTGTCGGAACCCTTGTCCTCCTCGGCCGGGAGCGACAAAAGACCATCTCTCGGCAGGCGGAAGAGGATACCCAAGAGGCGATACATATCCTGCGCTCAATGAACCATACCATTGAAGACTCTCTGCGCCTGCCACGTCGTACTCGTCGAACCGATCGCGGCAACATAAACGGGCTGTTCGATCAGAATCGGTCAGCACCTGCAGTCTCCGTTTTGGGGGAGACCCAGCAGACCTCGCAGTACGCCGCCACCGAAACCGATACGAGAAGGAACAGTTGGCTCCTCGACTCCGGTGCCAGTGTACACATCGTCAACAGCCTCGACTTTGTTGTGAAGTCGCGACCATTTAGTCTCGAGGTTGGGACAGCAGACGGGGAAGGGTCGATGCAGGTCCTAGGGGAGATGACAGTTAAACTGCCACTTATATCTCCTGATGGGGAGCGTCAGACGAACCTCACCATCAAAGAATGTCTCTTCATCCCATCGAGTAGATGCAATCTCTTATCGCTGTCAAAGCTCGCTGAATCGGAGCTGAACCTCACCGGTGTCTGGAATCGCTCTCATATCACGATCGAATATGATGTCGACGGTGATAGGCAGATCATCGGAGTGGCTGACATTCAGGACAAACTGCCCATCCTGCGCCTGTATCGTGAGGAAAGCCTGATCAAACCCGACATGGAGAATTTAGCTCTCAACATCGATTTCAAAGATCCTGTGTGGTCATGGCACTCACGTCTAGGTCACCCCAGTATCGAAGTCATGCGCTATCTTCCGGACACTGTCGACGGCCTCAACATCACCAAGGCGCAGATAAACGCGAAGAGAGGCGCGATCTGCCCGATCTGCGCCATCACCAAAGCCACGGTTCGGATACCAAGAGATCCAGCTCGACGACGTGGCACTCGTCCAGGGGAGATAATGCACTCAGACTCATGGGGCCCATACCCAGTTGTGGGTGTTCAAGGAGTCCGGTTCGCATTGTTCCTCATTGATGACTTTAGTCGGTACACCTGGGTAATCTTTGCCCCCGATAAGGAAGGTATGGCGGACCGCCTGATTCTTCTCCTTCGCGAGGTACAAAATGTCCATCAATTTAAGCTCGGAACTATCCGATTGGATCAAGAGGTTGGTCGTGTGGAGAAGTTCAAGTTGTGGGCAGCGAAACATGGAGTTCATATCGACGACACCGTACCATACCAACATTATCAGAACGGTGTTGCGGAAAGAAACAACCGTACGGTTGCAACCACGACCAATACTCTCATCCTACCAGCCAACTACAATCATGTTATCATTCGAGCGCTTGAGGGGAGACAACGGGAGATTCTTGCCAATACAAGTCTTCCGGAGACACTATGGCCATACGCAATGCGGCACGCCGTATGGGTGAAGAATCGCTTACCGACTCGGGCTAATAAGGATCGCCTCACGCCATGGAAGATGCTCAAGGATCAATCGCCTGACGTCACCCATGAGAAAACCTGGGGTAGTCGCGTATACCTCACGAGACCTCACGAACAACGTCTCAGGACAAGACAACCAAAACTAAGCCCACGGGCTGACCCTGGACACTTCATCGGCTTCGAAAGCGAAGCAATCTTGTACGTGTACGACCTCGAGAAAAAGAAGGTTATTCGATGTGGTACCGACATACGTGTTGCCGAGCGAGAAGGCTTACATTTCGCTCACGACGAGCCCAGCTTAAAGGATCGTCTTCCGGAGTGGAATGTACCCACTGGGGATGATGACCAAGTCAGCGACGAACACGAAGATTCTGGAGATGACGCCGGTGTCGAAGATGAAGCGATCAACGAAGCCGATGACGATGCAGCTTCTGACCGTGTCCCCTGTTGCGATGACGATGCAGCCTCCGACCGTGTCCCCTATTGCGAGGACGATACAGCTCCTAACTCTGTCTCTCACCGCGAGGATGATGGAGCGTCTGCTCGCGTCCCGCATTGCGAGAATGAGGGAGTTTCCGGCAATATTGATTGGCGACCTACCGATGAGCAAGACACCCTTAATCCTCCGAACTTGCCAACCGCGGACGACACGTCGAACATCCCCGAGATTGACTCTCTCTCCATACGAGACAAGGACGCTCAAATGGATAACGCGGATCGGCGAATAAGTCAACGTGAAAGTGAGACCGATTCAGAGGAGGAAGCTCGACGTCAACAGGCCATGTGGGAGATCACGGACGCAGAATACGGCTTTAATGATTACGATTATGACGACTTCGGTAGTGGCGCCTACTACGTCGCTATGCTGGCGGATAAGATTTCTCGCTACAAACCAAAAGAAGACTGGGGTGAGCGACAGCGAGCGGCGCCGACCCAAGACCGCATTGTGAACTGCGAAGATTGTGGTAAACCGTGTACTATGCACGGGAGTTTCGTCACCGAGAAGGGGCGACTATGTTTGGCATGCGCCTCGCTGATTCCGGATCCAAAAGTGTGCTCCAGATGTCAGATGAATTTCAAGAACTATTGCCACTCTCAGATCGGTAAGGTCTGTCAATCGTGCTCAGTTAAACTCATGGAGGATGACGATAGCGATGTCACGAGATGTGACCAATGCTTCAAGCTGGCCAAACGCGTTCTTCCTACACAGCATGGCCACCTTTGTTCCAGCTGCGCTCGAAAGATTCCCAACCCCTCTACTTGCCCGGTATGTGGCAAGGGTGCTTCAAAGTGGCACCACTCGCTGGGAGGCAAGATATGTGGTCCTTGTTACAAGGTTGCGCAGAGAAAGGCCGAAAGACGGAAAGTCGAATGTACCGAATGCTATCATATGGGTCGTGAATGCGACTATAACGTCCCGTGTTCCAACTGTGTCACGCACGGAAAGAGATGCTTCGGCCTTCAGAAAAAGAACGGGAAACCTCCACAACGATACATCGATAAATGTTTCAGCTGCGCAACACGTAATATTCTTTGTAGCGGCAAAAGACCGTGTGGCTCCGACCTGTGCAAGAAGTGGGCTGGAAAATGTATCTACTGGAAGGGCGACGGCTGGGAGACACTTGAACCCTGCATGTCATGCCAGAAAGCAGGGGGTCCCGGTTTCAAATGTGATGGCGGACGACCATGCGGGCAATGCAAGCAGGGCGCCTTGAAATGGTGCTATGAAGTTGACGTTCCCAATATCGTGCTGAGATGTTTCCCCATTACGGAGAAAGGTCTGGAGATCATACGTCGCGCCACTGAGAAGTGCCGATCGTGTACCGCCGACAGCAAAGGTTTCCAGTGCTCTGGAAGAGACGGATATGCACCCTGCGTACAATGCGTCAAAAATAATCACGTTCTTTACTGCTCGTGGGGCGATGGGGAGAGCCTGGTTAAGATTCCTACTAAACCATGGTCAATTTCATCATCTATCAACTCGGACGGCGAAGAAACAACACACAAAGAACTTGACCCGATCATATCCAAATGGTCCGCCTTCGAGGTTGAGAAAGCCTTTCGACATGGGGGTATGTTTCAGGATCGTGAAGCGTCCCAGGATCAGATGAAACGTGTGAAAGCTCGGAAGGAATCAGAATTTTACGCTGCCAACTCAGACGAAGAAGCCACAGACCTCACGGTGCCTGGAAATCAGCAACCCAGCAGCACATCCATCTTCGTTGTACCCACCACTAGCGCGATCACGGAAGCTGAACAGGAATTTGTCTCCTTATTTCCCAACGGCTATGAAATTATACCTACCAGTGCGGAAGACTTACAATGCGCTCTTTACGCTATCGCGGAATCGCTCAAAAGCATGAAAGACCGAGGAATGGATGTCCCAATACCTACGATTGACGAACTCATCCTAGTGTCAGAAGATGCGTATGTGAAGGCAGAGTTCGACGCATTCTTAGTCAATGGTACAGAGGCGAATCGAAACCATTGGAGCGCCGACCAGGCCGGCGCTATAGCAAATTATTGGGCAAAGGCATGGCACGGAGTGGAAATACGGGTCGGCTGCGTTCAGCCCGGCCGTAAGCCCATGCTCACGCCTTATCAGACTGGTGATGATAATAGGCGGCCGATCACCGTCTTTATCTACAACAATGCTAGGCAAGGGAGATACTCATCGGCTGAAGATCCAGCTCATTTCTCCGGTCTGCGCCCGAAGCAAACCCGCAAGCATAGCTTGGGTGACACGTACGAGACACCCAGTGCACCTAACGACAAAGACGACAACGGTGACAGCGACTTGGGGGAGCAGGAAGATGATATCCTGGGCATAAAGATTAGAGACACCACCGAGTCTTCGAGGAAGAAGATCCGATCCTGGGGCTTCGTCGGGCATACAGGCACGTTGAGCGATAGCCGGCAGCTGGCATTGATGCCCGAACCCACCTCATACAAAGCAGCTATGAATGGACCAGAGAAGACCCAATGGATGACGGCGATGAAGGCTGAATACAATGGCCTTGAAGACAACGGTACCTGGACGATCGTCACCTGGCCCGCGGGAGTGAAGCCGATCACGACTAAGTGGGTTTACAAGCGTAAGCTTGATGCTTGTGGAGCAATCGCTAGATACAAGGCTAGGCTGTGTGCACGAGGCTTTCAGCAGATCCTAGGCATCGATTTCCACGAATCATACGCGCCTGTCTCGAAGCATACTTCCTACCGAATACTGTTCACTTTGTCCGTATCCCTCGGCTGGTTTATTCATCAGGTCGATATCATCCAAGCATTTCTGAACAGCCTACTGCGAGAGTGTGTCTATATTCGGGCACCAACTGGTTTTCCTTTGAAGAAAGGTCAACTTCTGCGCCTGAATAAAGCGCTTTATGGTCTCAAACAGGCAGCGCGAGAATGGTATTTAACCTTGAGCTCCGCACTCACCAAACAAGGGTGGCGAGTATCAAGATATGACGACTGCATCTTCATTCATGAAGACCTCAAGCTGTACAAGTCAATCTGGGTCGATGATATTGCCATCTTTGGGAAGGATCGGAGCTCCATCGAACAGAAGAAGCTTGATTTGAGCTCCGTGTTCAAACTGACGGACGAGGGCGAATGTCGGTACTATCTCGGAATGAATATTACTCGCAGGGGTAATTACATTCACATGACGCAGGAGACTTACTTTACTCAGGCCTTGAAGGTCTACGGATTATGGGACATCCCTGGCAAATCATCGCCGCTCAACCCAAAGATACGACTTGCAAAGAGTGGCATTGCTGAGGCCTCGGAGACATTTCCGCCGCGAGAATACTCCTTACCTGAGTGCGACCCAAAGTTCAAAACACTCTTTCAGTCAAAAGTCGGGAAGCTCAACTTCCCTGCAAACATCACTCGACCAGATCTGGCATTCCCGGTTGGCTACGTGGCTAGATATAGTGCGAATCCGACTCAAGAGCATATGGATGCCGTCGATCATATCTTTGCATACGTCAAAAATACGATTAGTCTGGGTCTCAAGATACAGCTTTCAACTACAGCACTCACGCTAGAAGGCTATGTTGACAGCGATTTCGCGGGATGTGTCGACACGAGGAAATCAACAACGGGCTGGATATTCTTTCTGGGAGGCAGCGCAATCTCGTGGAAATCGAAACGTCAGACAATCACGACGACATCCACCTGCGAAGCGGAGTATGTTGCTCTGGATAACGCCGCAAAAGAGGCGATATATCTGAAAAACTTCATCAACGATCTCAAAGTGGAGGGACTCTCAGTGTTTGAAAAAGTACGAATTCATATCGACAACGATTCTGCTAATGCAGTCGCCAACAATCCTGGCAACTCCAATCGGCTCAAACACCTCGAAGTCAGTTACCATTTTGTTAGGGAAAAGATTCAACAGGGAGAAATCGAACTCGTGCGAGTCCCATCGTCGGAAAACATCGCTGACATGCTGACGAAGCCGTTGAATGGAACGGTGATTCAGTATCTCAGGGAGAAGGCTGGTCTCTACTGAAATTGTTAGATGCTTCGTGCTCGGACTGGAAGCATGAGTGGTGGTATTTCAGTACGCTGTGACAACCAAAGGCTTTTGACGGCCGAAGGTCTTTGACCTTCGGCCGAGGGGAGAGTTGTAACTATCACCGGTGACAACCTATGGAGGTGGTCACTGCCGATGTCACTGCCTTTGTTATGTCACTGCCTTTGTTGTGTCACGCCGGCGACGCGTGGGTAGCACGTGAGAGCCTTTTTACATAAAGGCTTCTCGAACCTCTGTAGTCACTTAGATAATTAATCAATCATCTATCTCTCCTTCAGAGGTTCCTACTAATTGCTGGCTGAAAAACGGAACATCAAATGGAATTCAATGCAATACATGCATCAGCGCAAAGCTGGTTTCGTGATTCTGAACGAGAAGGGCATGTCATGGAATGGAAATCCTTAAATTTTTCTGACATGCTGAATACTTGAGATATGTTGATTCAACCTTCTCTGCATATATATATCAACCCCATGTGACTCGGCCACTTCATTTCCTGTGGGACTGGAAAGCAGGACTCTAGGATGCTGTCTCTGCTTGCTGACTATACTATAAGTAGAGCCATGACGTCTTGTGCCCTTGTTTCTTGACTGCACCGGGGATCCGCGGGTAGCAATAACTGGTATGATACCCTTGTAGGATATGACTAATACCATCAAACTGTCTCAGCTAGCCCTGTCGAACAACATCAGTTCTACAAAGTTATATCAATTGTCCAAGTTCCAACTCCGGATCTGGCCAATAGAAGAGTAGAAACATCGCGTTTGTAACTTGCCTCGTTGCCCCCCTTCATGTCGACCGAGTCAGGTAACATCACGTGAAAAGACACCATGACTCGCGATCTTGGCGTCCGACGACATTCCACTGGCATGTTGTCCCTTGTCGCTGTCGCCATCGCCATCTGTTTGTCTTGGAATTTATAAATTCTGGATTGAGTTTGATCATATTAAGCTTCTCTCTATCTAATTTGGCAAGTGTTCGTCCTGCTGCGGTCCAAAAACTCTACCAAGCAAAACTCTACCAAACGTGTACTATCCTCAGGTAGTGCTACAATCATGAGTGACTACGGAGAGGAAGCACCACCCCCCAACGCCGAGGGCCTCGACCGACCGGACGAACACGAAGACGAGCTGGACGACCTGCATGATGAATTTCAAGATCCTCAACCAGAACACGATGCCGACACTCGTCCCAACCCAGCCGATGATTCTGACGATGAATCGCTGCTCTCTGAAGTCGATGAAGCCCAATTCGCTGATTTCGACCCCAAGGCTGTCGAAGTTGCCCCCGATTTCGACACACTGACCAAATCCATCAAGGTGAAGAAGAGAAAAAGAGCCGAGGGTGAGGAACTCGCACCGAAGAAGAAGAAAGAGCGCAGAAGGGAGAAAAAACCACGACGAGCAGAGAGTGAGGCTTTTTCAGGTGGCGATGAGGTCGAGGGCAAGAGATCGCGCAGATCAAAGGCGGCCGATGGTGAAAGTCAACGGCGCGAGCGTGTGGAAATCAATGAAGAGGACCTGACACCTGAGGAGCGCAGAAGACGGGCGTTGGATAGAGCAATGGACGCTGCGGTCAAGAGGTCATCAGGCAAGAGAATGAGAAAGGGCGAAATTGTGAGTTCCCGGGAACAATTTCCCAACATCCAAACTAATAGAGTCCAGGACCTCGAGCAAGCCGCAGACGCAGAGATCGAGGACCTGCGTAATAGGATGATAACAGCAGCGGAAATGGACGGAGAACTAGTTCGACAAGGGTTGCCTGCCTCTCAGAAACTCAAGATGTTACCCGAGGTGGTGAGCCTGCTAAACCGGAACACCTATGTGCAATCTATTCTCGACCCGGAGATGAACCTGCTTGAGGCAGTACGATTCTTCTTGGAACCTTTGACCGACGGCAGTCTACCGGCATACAACATCCAGCGAGAGCTGTTCGCAGCCCTTGCCAAGTTGCAGATGAACAAAGAGACCTTGATCTCTTCCGGCATCGGCAAAGTTATCCTGTTTTATCGCAAATCCAAGAGGGCCGAACCAGCAATCAAGCGACAGGCCACCAAGCTCATGGAGGAGTGGTCACGGCCCATCCTGGGTAAAAGCGACGACCACACAAAGAAAGTCTGGCAAACGGCGGATTATGATCCCAATAAGAAGCGGGAAGCCGTTCCGGCTGCTATTCCCAAGGCGAAAACAAATATTGCACCTGGCGAGAGAGTCAGCAACAGGGCAAGAGTTCAGACAAGTAACTTGAGATTTAACATTGTACCGCAGGTCTCATCTACTATTGCCCATCGGTAGCAAAGGGCGCTGGAGGAACTGGCAGTCTCGGGTTTCAGGTTCGGGTGCGTGGTGGCGATTTGGGCAGACACCACACACCCACTCATTTTGTGTCCAATCTACCCATCTCAGGCTTGTCTGCGGTCCACAGCGATGAAGATGGCCGAAGACTTCGCCTAGCACCTGTCTGCTCACAGTGGTGTTTATACTGCTAGTCCCTGAATGCAATGTTACTGCGTATTGCGTATTGCGCATTTGTGGTCTTCTCTTGGGCAGCATATCATATCATAACATATCATCGCCTCGTTCTCCTTCTCTCCCTGCTGCCCACGGCCATTCGATATTAGAGACACCGACGCTTAGTTCAGATTGCGACGGCTGGATCTCTTGTAGATTGGTTCTCCGCGCCATGCTCCGTTACGTACGGGCCCTGCGCGCCGTTCCTTTACACGACGACTAAGCGCCTGCCTTGGCGATTCATTCGACAGCGTTGCGATGATGTGATCGTAACCGTAACGCTTGCAAATGCGACGTCGCTGTCCCACCTCCTACTCTGATTTGGCGTATATCTCAGCTTCCACTCACTCTCAAATCCCACCGATCACGTGCGACATCCCCCCGCTTCTTCGAGTCGCGACAAGTTCCCCAAGGCAAGATGTTACCAAGAACTCCTCTGAAGATACCTGCTCTGCGTGTCAAGCTGTTCAAAAAGCAGGATGACAAACAGTCACCTACCTCATCATCCTCTCCGCCATCACCAGCCAACAACGCACTGCCTACCTCTTCCTCTCCGAGCAGACCTCCCCCCGAGGCGCAAATCACCGGCCCCTAAAAACAACAACCTCGAATCTGGGTCAGTGGGAGAGAGACCCTTATTGTCAATTCCTTTCGCAAGGTCGATTCGTCCATCTGACCTGCTTAACCCTGCTACGCCCTCGGCAGCTGCGACAACTGTCCCGGATAAGTATTCGTCCTCGACCGCGATGGTAATAGCGTTCTCTGCAGTCGGGCCATTTCACCTACCACCGTTGCAAACACGGTTAAATTCGACGCAGTCGCACTTGAAGAAATGGAGTCGGTCAACCCTGTTCATTACGACAGTCCGAACATCTTCCTCGTCTTATGGTGCATCGCAAAGCGTTGTACACCAAAGAAGGCAGACAACCACACCAGCGGAGAAAAAACCATGTACCACCTCGTCCCAAAGAACGGCAATGACCGTTACAGACTGTCCCCTTCTGGCAAGATGATAGTTGAGGTTCGTTTCCGGCCGGGCGGCTGGGCTTGGTACTTGCATCGACGGAGCGGCATCGATGGAACAATAATCAAGCTGAAAGCGCTCGTCATCGGGGCCGAGGTCCTTCACACGAAGAGAGTCTACCATGTCAGCGTTGTGCACCTCGATTGCGACAGAATCCTGGTCTCCCATGAGCGGTTGGAAGAGGTGGTTCAGTGGCATTGACACCAGATGGCACTTGGGAGTTTGCGGGTGCACTGGTCAGTCCATCGGTGGGTGTTTGCCGGGCCCTATTTCTTTTCGGCAGAGTAGATAATAGGACAGAAGAGCACCTCTGTTGCAAACGGAAGAATCTCGAACACTGCTGGAGGCCACATATCCCGCGTACGATTCTCTATTCCGAGGCGACCTTGAGCGTATCCATGTACAAGTAAACTCCTGTGGCAAGGGTCTCAGTGGTCGCCGAAGACGCGGTTCAAGTCTCCTGACATTATATGTTCAGAGACATTATTTTTGCTCTAAGGGATCTGAAGATCGCCCCTAGGTGTGGGATAGTCGCCGAAAACAAAGAACCTTCTCTTTCTGGAATGACCAAGGGCGGCGAGTCACGCCATTATTGCAGGAAAGAATCCCAGTGAGGGCTGGGCAGAAGGGGCTTTACATAGGCCCGAGGGTATCCCGACCCTTCCGTGGGGATACTAAAACAGCGCATTTCTTGCATTTTATGACAATCCCCCTTTTGCCCGGTAAAACGTTGATCTCACGTTCGTCATACTTGTACATCATATCCTGTAGAGGGGGACATGGGCGGCGAGTTCCGGGGAGTCAACCAGCAATTCGTTCTGGACGAGATGGACGGGCCAAGGACTGACATGATGGTCCCGGCGGAAAGAGACAGGGGCGTGGATGGGGCCAGTGGCTGGTGAGGAAAGTACTGCGCGAGGCGTTATTCGTGGGGAGGGAAGCCCCAAGGGCATGAATGGACGGGCAGGGGAGAAGTGAGAAGTGAGAAGTGAGTGAGGAGTGGCCGTGGAAACAACCGGCATTCACAGACGAACAATCGCGTGATGTCATCGGGGTCCAGACAAGTGCAGAAACAGGCGTTGAAGCCCGTTTCGTCCATTTTGCTGCTCTAGGCAAGTCGCTCCGTGCGGTACATATTCAGCAACTGCGCTTCATTCGGAGTAGGTTGTCTCATTTTTGCTTCATTTACTTCTTCTTGTCCCTCACACTGAGAGGGAGCGAAAAACAAACGCAATATCCGAGACAACTCCTCAACATTCTTTTCGCTGCCACCTACCGAGTACTTTGTCCAGCAATAGGACGAGTTTCCAGAAGAAATTGGCTCAACGCAGGCTGACTGATGCCGCACTGGTAGCCTGCTTATTCATTTACCAGACCCAGGAGCTGTTGTGAACGAATCACACATCGGTAAATCACTTCCGGCTTCTTTGCTGCTCAGTGGGGTTTTGCTAGCTTCACCACACGAAACTGAACTTGTTCAGAGTATATAGCATTGATCCTTTCGCCGCCTCAGTCGCACCTGCATTCTCACTTTTGTCATCGCAGCCACGTATCATATAAAGGCCACGCCGCCGCCGCACCGTTCCCCTCACCTGTCTATACACTATACCCACCTCACTACTTGACATCATACCACCACCACCATGAAGCTCCTCACCAAGGAACAAGAAGCAGAACACTACCGCCAGACCCTCATCGGTGGCACCATCGGCGGTCTCGCCGGTCTCGCCGTAGGTTTCGTCGGTGTGGCCTACGCTCATCGACGTTACCACTTCTTCCGGAACCTCACGCTTCCTCTCAAAGCATTTCTCGTTACATCTGCCGGCACCTTCGCCGGTATTGTCAATGCAGACCACTACTCCCGTGCCTACGAGGCCTCTCAGAACCCCCAAGAGGTCGCTTACCGCCAGCGCCAGTCCGAACAGGCGACCTTGGAGAAAGCAAACAAGACATGGACCGAGCGAGCAATGGACTTTGGTCGAAAAGAACGGTACAAGATTGTTTTCGGATCATGGGTTGGCTCCATGTTTGCCGCCTTTGCCCTGGTTAACAGAAACAAATACCTCACCGGCCAGCAAAAGATCGTGCAGGCAAGAGTTTACGCCCAATTCCTCACGGTTGGCGTCTTGATCGCAACCGCCGCTTTCGAAATCGCGGATCAGAGAAGCGGACAGAGCAGGTGGGAGACAGTCAGATATATCGATCCCACTGATCCTGAACACAAGCGCATGTTGGAGAAGCAGGTCGAGAGAGATACTTCAAGCCAGGGAACCGGCAGCGGAAACGATGATCTGTGGAAGGAGATGGTCGAGCAGGAAGAACAACGATTGAAGGCCAGGGAGGAGTATGAGAAAGAGCATCACAAGAGGCACAAGAACGGCAACGGCAAGAAGAAGCTTGAGCAAGAGCACAAGGAATAGATCGAGAAAGCCACCCAACTTTCAGCAACCTCCTCGAACAGAAAGCGACATTCCATGGAAACACCAGCTTTCGAGCTGCTGAACTTCCAAAAGACCCATCACGTCTGCCAGCCGGCCAGTCAGCCGTGATCTTGCAACACCTGACAACTGTCCCATTTGTGTACATTACTACAACCCTACCAACATCAACCACTCCGACGACGACAATGGATTCTCACAGCGATAGATCTCTCAATCCTTAATCCCTACATGGAGCTCACGAGGTCCTCTACGTCGCACACCTACATCCCATTTGATGAAAGAGTTTGGGCATTTGACGGAGTAAACGGAGTACGAAAGAGCGGCGTCAAAAAAGAGGAGCCGGCGTTGAGATGTGAGTGGATCAGGATCTATCACCACAGGGCGAAAACGATATTGTTCTTGTTTCCCAAGTCTTCCGACTGTGTCTGAGAGCGAGCCAAATACTCCGTCTATATTATATACAACAGTGCACATGCTATACTACTTGCTCTAATGCAGGGGGAAAAAATGAAGTAGACCGCAATGTCTGTGGTTCATTAAAATCATGATTAGCAGGGGCAAAGCCTTGCAGGACCGGGCAATAATAATTATATACAGATATTCACATCTAACAACAGCGCCGGGAACGCCGTCGCTTTGCCCTGATGCGTGCCTCAAACTGTGCTTGCTCTAGCCTCGCCTCCACCCCGAATGGATACGCCTTCTAACACATCTACATGTACGTGTAACGTTTCGAATTGTCAATGTCGCATTGCCCCACAAAGAGCTCCAGGCCCAGACCTAAACCTCGACCTAACCACAGATCGGGGCCACGACCCAGATTGAGAGGGAGACAGACTCAGTCCCCAGAAATTGGACAATCAGTCAGCCATTCTCGGGTCAAGTTCCAGCCAGTCAAGCCAAGTCAAGCACTGGCCAGTCGGGGCAAGACAAGTCAACATCTGGGGACTTTTGGAATCCGCACGATCCTCACCTCGTCCGCGACACGCCCGCACAGTCCGGGGCAGGGGTGTGCAACGTTGTCGGATCTTACATTCAATCAATCCATGCCCCAATTTTCATAGTCTCCAGCCCAGCCTCGAAACATGAACCTGCCGGCGCTGAGAGGATGAGGATGCTATCCCTTGACGAACTCGTGCATCAGCTCCTTGTCCAGCGACAGCCAGTTCTGCGCGACCTGCAGCCCACGGATCCGCTCCATCTCGATCCGGTGCCAGGACCACTCGCTCTCGCCTGCGCGGGCCGTGAGCGACGCGAGGGGCTCCGAGGAGGACGAGATGGTTGCCGCGCCGGTCATTGCCGCTGCCGTCTCGAGCTTTGCCACGATGATGTCCGCGTTTTGCAGCGTTTTGGATGCTGGGACCGGCGCTGCAAAAGGACCTTCTTGAGGTGTGGGTATTAGGGATGGTTCAGAGGATGGGTTGGCTGTGGTTGTGATGGTCAAGTTTTCGGTGTCGGTGGGAGGAAGGCCCTGTGGCGGTGTCGTTGGAGGCACCGACTCTTCTGATGATGACTCCCTCGTCCCGGGCTTGTCTTGTTGGTCTGCGCCGACGTTGCAGTTCGCCGGCCTGCGTGGCAGCCATCCCGCAGCGACAAAGCATCGTTCTGGAGAAACGGTAAATTTGCCCTTCTTCACCACGTACTTGCTCAGCGCCGAAGCCAGGAGGACTTCGTGTTGGCCCCTCCGCGACGCAGGCCGGACGAACCAACTCCCCACCACAATCCACTTATTGTCCCACGCAAGTATCCTCGAGCGAACCTCGTAACGCTCGTACGGCTTGATCTCCTTGTGGAAGGACGTGTGGACGCTGCCCAAGATGACGCTCAGGGGACCCCGGTGGCCCTCGCGCTCGAGGTCCTTATTCCCTTGTTTCAAGCCCGGGACCAGGAGCTTCGTCATGAGCACGGTCCGGCTCTCGTCCAGGTCGACGAAGTAGGTGCTGTTCGATTTGTGCAGGTTGTAGTCTGTCTCGAGGAGCGGGGAGCGGGTGAATATGGACACGGGCTGGAAAAGAGGGTGTACCGACAAAGAGGAACCTGACTGCCATTTCAAGCTGCGCTGCACCCGCGCATGTGTGTACCAGTTCGTGAACATGCGGTAGAACAGGCGCGCGTGCCAGGCTAAAGGCAGCGACTTGAGATTAACCAGGGCGAAAAGGACCGCGAGCGTGCGCCATGAGAGCAGAGACGAAAGAGACGGCATGGCAATTGCAGGCATGATGGAAACGGAAAAGTCGTGAGAGCGAGGGTAAAAAAGGACTGTGGTGTACGCTTATATCCCTATATTGACATTATGAACCAAGGCGAATCTTGTGCAACGGTCTTAAAGAAAGCCTCTGTGCGTACCGTGTTTGTGTTCTATAGTACGAGGTAACGAGGGTAGATTGGAGTCGCAAGAAGACAGGAATACCCCAAGTAGATCGATGCAGCGGAAAAACTATATTCCGTGACACCAGCTCTGAAGTTGGTTGATGAGATCCCAAGAGATACCTACAGAGTAACTCGTATGTCAAGAAGAGATGCTGAACTGTACGTAGATACCTATACTCAACTAACAAAAAAGGTGATTATGCCCATTGTAAATGATGCCTGTCGCCACAAGTGACAGTGCCGAGCTCATTGCCCTACGTGGAATCCATGTGCATTGTCCCGCTTGTTGAATGACAACTTGGATCTTCACTGAATGACAATATCACCACCACACGTGACATGACACGTGACACAATTTGCAACTCAGCTCCTCGACTTTTTGTCTTGGGTTGATGTTGCTGCCTTGTGGGGGCCACCTTTCCTCAGGACGTAATCACTCCTGGGCAATCCTATCGTCGTCCTACTTGGTAGGTAGGATGTGAGAACTCGAATGCAGGGTCAAAGTCGGATCTGACTCGTACCATGAGAGGTTGCCTCATGCTGTCTTTCTGCCTTCACTAGATGTCCAAAGCCTCGAACTGCTCTACCACAAACCAGTTCATTAACTCAACCTCGTCTCATGGCGACTGAACAAGGGTACTCCGCAATTTAGCCGTGATCTGGTTGTCATTTCCCTGCTTTTGGGCTTCTTCGTTCTCCATCTTTCAAAACGTGCCCTTGGCGGTTGCGCGTCCTGAAGTTTACAGGTAGAATCTGGTTGGTAAAGGGGCGAAGACGTTTGCGGGTCGCCGTCAAGGTGAGGAACTCTCCTTGGTACTTAGGTTTTGCCTAGGCCCGCTCGAAAGGAGAAGTCATCCTTGACAAGCTGAAGGAACTTCTCAAGGCTGCGTGCGCAGAAGCCTGGGTGGTTGCACAGACCAGAGGTGGCGACATATACCTATGGAGCCCTTGACCTGACCACGTCCAAGACAAACAACATTCCACCCACGATGTCTCATACAAGACACTCTAGACAGGACTCTCGCTCAGGAGACCGCACCCGAGACCTTGCGCGGTTATGTCAAAGGCGAAGCTGGATCCAAGCAAAAGCCACTCGGACATGCTCTGTACGGCAACTGCGCCTCTGGACCTGGGACAAGCTCTTCCAGCCACAGCCTTTGACCCGAGCTACCTCGTACCTGACGCAACGTTCCGAGGTGGTGGGGAGGTATTTTAGGGAATGTTGGGAGGGCGAGAACCCAGGCGCTCCGTTGCTTGTTCCGAGAATGGAGCTGACGGTGACAAGCTGGCGGTTGCTAGCAGCCTTCTCGCCTTTAACGGGCGTTTCAAGCTGCTCGCCATGGAGAAGCTCCTAGCCAATCAAAGCGATAGAGAGTCGGATCTATGCAGCGCGCGCTAACTATTTCTAGCCTAGATGCTCACCATTACGCGGCTAACGATTGGCTGCAGTCGACCGCACATTTTCACCCCCTGATCATTCCATCTCATCACTCTCTTTCCATCCTTTCTGTCCTTTCTTCTCCCCATGACCTCTTGACCTCTCCACAGCCGCCCCGATGGGCTGCTTCAGCCTCCTGAGATCTGCTCAGGGGATCCCTCCAAAATGGACTGGTTTGATGTTCTCCTGCGTCATCCCGAGCTACTTACGATCAAGCCTTGTTCGTTCTCCTATTATCGCACACCACCGATCTACGGGGTACCTCGGACCAATCTCCTATTCTGCAGCTTGTGCTCCCCGAACTCTGGTCCCGTATTCGTTCAGCTCTTACTACCTCTAGCTCTCAGTTTTGCAGCAAATCACGTATGTACTGGGTATATCAGAGCTCTCTTTCAACGCAACGAGCTGTAAAACCAGTCCAGAAATCTATTTTCTGGCCGGAGCGGCCGGGGCTCTGACCGGGCTCTGTGCTTTGCGCACGAGCTTGCACTTCAGAACGATCACCTTGGTCGTTAGTTTGCCACACGCGAAGGATAGAACGCGTACGTGCCAATAGAATGCGATGTTTCACATACCCCTTGCTCACCACTGAGCCAACCAGCATGGCCAGCATGACCGGGGTACAACTTTAACATCTAGGGGGCATTTGCCGACTTCCATTATTCAAAATCTATATAGAAGCCTGCCAAGTCGCTTCGTCCCATCTCGACTTTCTCCAGAGCTTCTTCTCACCTCGTTCATTTTGTCTCAACTGTGGCAGGCTAGTCCTACATTCCTTTGACCTTCCTCTCTTTATTCTGCCCGGCGCAGACCATACATTCTTTTGCCTATCAGTTGACTTAGCAAGTCAGCGGCCATTCCTTTGTCAGTGACAAAAAGGTATGGCACTTCCATTCACTTCTTTTGCTCTCAGATGCTTTGTTTTCAGCATGTCATTGTCACATGCAGGCAGTGGTCATCGTTGCTGGCCGGACTGCTTTGTTCGGCATCACAGGCTGTTGCAGATTATTGTCGGGAATCACTGCCATTGTGTGTGCTGCATTGTTGGAAGTCTCCTATTGTCCGACTGCTTTGCCAAACCGTTTTGATATTTAAACCTCCAAATTATTATTCTCACCTTCAAGTTCACCATCACACCGCAAACAACGACTGACAAAGTGTATCAGTGCGATCCGGCCATTGCTCTGCCCAACACATTCATTTCCATCTCCAAACTCAACCGAAAAAAAAACATCATCCCGACGTCCAATATGGTGGTTTTTTTCAAATCCGTGGCACTGGCTGCACTTACCTTCCTAGCTACAGTGGGAGATGCTCACATGATTATGAAGACTCCTGTCCCATACGGCAAATCAACCCTTAACAACTCACCACTCGTCGCCGACGGATCTGATTTCCCTTGCAAACAGCGTTCTGGTGTCTATGATGCTGAGGGGGCTAGCAATGTCGCAGCTATCGGTGAACCACAAACTCTGAGCTTCATCGGCAGTGCTACTCATGGCGGCGGATCCTGTCAAGTCAGCCTTACTACCGATCTCCAGCCTTCGAAAAACTCCAAGTGGATGGTCATCAAGTCTATTGAAGGCGGCTGTCCAGCTTCGGCACCTGGCAATATTGGTGACGATCCTAATGGCTCTGGCGCCTCGACATTCCAGTTCTCCGTTCCTGAGGGCATCGCTCCTGGCGAGTACACCATGGCGTGGACTTGGTTCAACAAGGTTGGGAACCGCGAAATGTACATGAACTGCGCCCCCTTCACTGTCACTTCCGCCAAGAAAAAGCGCTATATGCCAGCTCCAAAGGCTTCCAAGCGACAGACGTCGTTCCCGGACATGTTTGTAGCCAATTTGGCAGCCATAAACACCTGCACAACCCCCGAGAGCTTCGATTATGTCTTCCCCAATCCAGGCGCTGATGTACAATCTGCGGGTTCGGGACCGTACACCACACTGTCTTGCGGTTCCAATGGTAACAACGCCCCTCAACAACCCACCGGATCTATTCCTGTCGTCTCTGGCACTGCCACCGCAGCTCCTACCAGCTATGCTGCTGGCCCTCCATCTTCTGCACCGGCATTCGCTAGTGGCAATGCTGGGCAATATACGGCGAGCCCTCCGGCCAGCGCGGTTCCTGGCAACTTCGCTAGCGGTGCATCTTCGGTACCTACCTCCGCCGTCGTCCCCTCTTCCACTGTCACTGACCTTCCTCAGGTCGTCCCCACCACAATCCCAGCAGGTGCCGGCTCCAGCATCGTACGTGTTTCCACCACTTTACCACCCTCGACTATTACTAACACTCAACAGGCTCCTTCTAACACTGCTGCAGCAACTGCTCTTGCAGCGACTCCAACTAGCAGCTCTTCTGCAGCATCGAACAGCTCCGCTGCCGGTGCGCTGACTGGTCCATGCTCTAATGAAGGGTTCTGGAATTGTATCGACGGAAACAGCTTCCAGCGCTGCGCCTCCGGGAGCTGGAGCGCAGTCATCCCCATGAACGGCATGAAGTGCTCCCCAGGAATATCATCTGATTTCTCCATGACTGCAGCCAACGCAAAGCGCTGGGAAGCGTAAATCCATTGTTGACCTGCTCGCTTGTAATCCATGCATTTCCATCATCGTTTTCGGTCCATGTACAACATCCGATCGGTCAAACCGATCGTCGGCGGCATGTCTCGCGAATCAGAATTTGTTTTGGGAGGGGGCTTGTTTGAGTGACAGGTCTCTGAGGATATTCAACTTGTCCTCGCCATCACTCAATTTTTACACGACTTCATGAAATATCTTCAGCATCCTCACTTCTATGATACGAGATGACACTTCACCAACGCGGACCAATCTAACGGCAAATCTTGCATCAGCGAAAAGGCGTTTGATTCGGTTGTCACGTTTTCTTCACTAGGTTAGCGGACTTAAAATATCCTAGAAAGTAGAGAATGATAAGAGGTTGCAAAACCGAATTGAAGTTCCGGAATTGCCCATATTAAATTCTGTGCCGTACTAAAATAAAAAGTCTTGCTGATAGAACACCTTGTCTCAGTATTCGACTGCCGACGATTCATTGAGCGTTTCAGTAGAAAATTCTATGCCAGAAACTCCGTCCCCCTTACACTCTGCCCTTCATGGGAAGCATCCCAATGTCATTGTTGTTAAGTCTGGTGGGACTCGGAAGTTTTAGGACCGCATTTGCCAGCGAGGCTGGGCGGCTCAGGGGTGAGGCTGTGGTGGCTGAGCCATTGCAAGAGGTCAATCAATAATGCCAGCTCATCTTGGGTTTTCAAGGAGCTGACCGTAAGTATCAACTGAACCTGCTCCCTTTCCTTATCGACGTCCAAGTCCTTCAAGGATCGCAGTACCCTACTGTCTACCTCACGTCTATCTCCGCTCATCTGGATCAAGACTCGAAGAGAGGGTGCGCACGTGGGCTTCGCCAGCTCGCCTATTGCCGTGAAGAATAGCACCACATCGGCACGGCTTCCGAACACAATGGACGAAGGACGCTTGCAGCCGTCCTTACTTTCCTTATGCACATTATTGTGCTGGAGATTTGGGGAGCTCTCTGCTCTTCCTGATGTGCGCACCACACTTTTCACCAAATATCGGTTTCCTCGCAAAGTCTTGATGGCCAATTATCTTTTTCTTGATTCTCACGTGTGTGGTCTAGTTTGTCAAGCAGCTCTGGACAAGAAGTCCCTTTACCAGCTCGCAGTGTCCGGCTGAAGCTCATGCGAAGCGTTCTAGCGATCTAAGCCGAGGGATGTTTCGAGCTCATTGCTTTTGCGTCCATTGTGAAGCTTTTCTTGTCTCTACATTAATCTTTGTCCCTCTTCCCCGAGCAAAAGGTGGGTCTTTCAACTCTTTTCTTTGTCGCTGATACCTATCAGCTATGGCGATGGTCAAGATTGTACTCACCACGGTTGTTGGGGCCTTGGGGGCTCTCGCAGCTTCGCGGCCGTACTCATCGGCCTACCTCGAGAAACAGTTTTCCCAAACCTTCACAGACTCCTACAACATTCTCAAATATGTCGGCGGTATTGGTCCTTACTCAGACCGTATGGGCTACGGGATCGACCCCAATCCTCCTCTGGGTTGTACTGTTGATCAGGTCATTATGCTAATGCGTCACGGGGAGCGGTACCCCGACGCCACGACATATGGGAGACTTGAAGCCGTTCTCAAAAAGCTGTACTCGACGGGTATTTCTCAATGGTCGGGCGACCTTGCTTTCCTGAACGACTGGACCTTCTATATCAGCGACCCAGGTTACCTGGAACAGGAGACATTCTCGGGTCCGTATTCAGGACTCTTACATGCCTTAAGACAAGGCTCCGAGTATCGTGCTCGCTATGGCCACCTTTGGGACGGAGACTCGGTTGTCCCCATTTTTGCAAGCGACTACGAGCGTGTCATCGAGACGGCGAGATATTTCGGTATGGGGTTCTTCGGATATAACTACTCTACCAATGCCGCAATAAACGTGATTTCCGAGAATGCAACGCGGGGAGCAAACAGTTTGACTCCTAGCTGCCCTGCCGATACAAGCTTACTCGCGTGCTTTTATGCTTCAAGAAGCCTGCCTCAATTCAACGTGGCTGCGGCGAGATTGAATTCTCAGAATCCAGGCCTGAATCTGAATTCCAGCGACATCGTGACGCTGATGAGTGAGAACCCTCCTTTCCGACTTGCAGGTCATGTATACAAGGAAGGAAAGCTACTGACTTGGCATCCACTGACTACAGGCATGGCTCCCTACGAGCTTCAAGCTCGTTCATATTCGCCATGGGTGGATGCATTCACACTTGACGAATGGGTGGCATTCGGTTACATTCAAGACCTGACTTACTACTATTGCTCAGGGTACGCCCAAGAATCCGGGGAAACTTACCATCCTCTTCGAGGACTGCACTGACCTTCAAATCCCCGCTTAGTCCAGGGGATCCATACGAGGTCGCTGTCGGCCAAGTCTTTGCAAATGCGTCCCTTGCACTTCTTGAAGCCGGTCCAAGCCACGGAACTATGTGGTGGAATTTGTCAGTACAGATCCTATTCCCCCTGTGCAGAGCTCTAACTTAACGCCTTCTTCTTTGACTTCCACAGCGCCCACGACGCCAACATCACTCCCGTCGTCGCGGCATTGGGTCTGGACGTGCCCTCATCACCTTTGCCAAACGAGACAATCCCGTTTCCGAACCCTTACAGATCGACTGACATCGTCCCCATGGGCGGCCATCTCGTCCTGGAACGCCTGTCGTGCAATGCCACCGCGGCTCCAACCCCATCCGGCGTCTACGTCCGAGCCCTGATCAACGAGGCGGTGGTTCCCTGGCTCACATGTCAATCCGGACCTGGCTACTCCTGTCCGCTGGGCGATTACAGCGCTATGATCGCTCGCGGGCCGAACTTTGTGCAGATGTGCAACGTCTCCGCGCTGGGCTATCCCGAGTATCTCGACTTCTGGTGGGATTTTAACACCACGACAGAGCTGAATTTCCAGAACGGCAGCATTCCCTGGCAGCAGACGTATACGCGCGTCAACGGATGATGATGGCGGTGATGATGGAGGATCAATGTCGGACCTAGGAGAGGTCCAGAAAACGAGGTGTCGTATATAGATACTGTACAGATATAGACATCCGGAGTAATGCTCAAAGAAAAGAACGTCATCTCATCTGGCAGTCTTCTGAAACGGAGGTCATCCATTCATCCACCGGCTTCTCTGTCCTCCCTTGGGTATCTAAACAGCCCATGTCTTCTAGGAAGGCCTGAACATGGCTCGCACGGCGTACAGCGTACAGCATACATCGCACCAACGCCGAAACCCCTCTATATATATATATATATACATATTTACCTACATACATAGTGCGGTGCACGGGAACGTTGAAAGGTATCGTCGGGGCGTTTTCAACCTATACACGCATACATACAGATGTTCGCACAGGGGATATATATGTATTTGTATATATGGTAACGTCAGCGGCGATTTAAGGCCTAGATTTGACAAAGTCAACGTCCCCCCCGGGGGGGGGGGGGGGGGGGGGGGGGGGGGGGGGGGGGGGGGGGGGGGGGGGGGGGGGGGGGGGGGGGGGGGGGGTGGAATTTAGGGGGGGGAATATAAATCCTAAAATGTAAAATGTAAGATGTAGATTGTAAAATGTACGCCAATGCCGGCCTCGTTCAAAATGTCCTGTGCTGTGGAGGAAGCCATCCGATCCGGGATCAGTCGCTCACTTCTTCACAATGCCTTTTTATCTCACGGAGCCCTTGTACAAGAGCCCTTCTCCTGTTGATAGGTCGTAATCGGCATATCACACCCCAACATTCATTGCACTCTGGCACTCATGACGCAAACGCTGGACAGCAGCGATTCTAGACCAGCCAGAGCTGTTCGTTCATGGACTTTCATGGATTCGACTCTCCTCCTATCACCGCCTGTGGCCGACAGACGGCAGACAACACTTCCGATCGAGAACGGCCTTCCATTCAACCACACGATCAAGGATTTGAAGTTCTTTCTCATCAACGGCTCGCTGCACCACAATACCAAGATCATGGCTTCTCTATCGAGCTTTTCCACGCTCGTTCAAACAGCCCCTTTATCTTCACGACCTCCTTGGGCGACCGTATTCTCTGCTCTAGAAACCTTTGCAAGTCATCCCAAAACTCCCTTGACTCCAGGACGCTCGTCGTTGACGTTTCCACACCTTCCATTGGCGTTCCTTGTGCTCCCGTTTGATTGCTCTCAGTCTGCAGACCTGCCTTCGCTGCCGTCACCAAAGCTGCCGTTATCGTGTGGTGGAGAGACGCCGTTATATGGGTCTGAGGCGGGTCAGGAGCGCCGCCCATGACCATCACTCCAAACTCGACATCTGACCCCGTGGTGGTACCAGATCCATCCAGAGCCTCTGCAACAGTCCGTTTACTTTGGGGGACGGGCTTCTTGTTCAAGAGTAACTTGATCTTGTCTAGATTGACCACGCTCGGTCCACCTAGGTATGATTGGATCTGTTCTTTTAGCACTTGGACTGTCGTCGTTGCGGGCGGTATGGACTGGAGTATGAGGGTCATATTTGGGTTGCGCGGGGACTTCAGTATCAGGGTGATGGTGGGCGTGGAGGGTTCGGAGCCTGGTGCTGGCTCGGTCGCCGGGATGGATTTGGGCGGCGACGGGTGTGGTGGTGTTGAGAGCTTGGGCAAGGTATACTGTTCGTGATAAACGCAGCCTCGTTAGCAAGTGTAGTTACTATCTCATCTTTCGGGCGACGGCGTCCTGTCGGATTCACAACATGCCCTCTTGCCTTGGGGCACTCTTGGAACAGGCCCGCTTGCCCGCCCATTGAGTGGTCGCGGGGTCGATGTGGTGCAAGACTTACGGGTAACCGCATTTGAAATGTCTTCGGGTCAAAGACATGGTCAGGTTGGTACTTGTTCGGTTTGTTGTCTAGAGACGTAAGGAATTGCTTCGCGAATTGGAGGTCGCCCATGTTGCCTGCTCGGGCTTGTCGCTCTTCCTCCAGACGGCGGAGGGCGTGTTGGAGAGCGAATGCTGCCAGCTTGACCTTGAACTCAGTCGGGGAGCGTGGATAGATATATTCAGATGTCGAGGATCGCAGATGAAGAATGATTGGTTGTCGAGAGAGTTGGCCGTCGATCCACGAGTAGAGTAGCCGCTGCAGTGGAAGTACGCAAATGGGATTGGAAAGCCAGACTGACATCACCCCACGAGGCTCCACGAGGCTGGACAAGGCTGGACAAGGCTGGAGTGATCATCTGCGAGTCACCAAGAGCCGGCTAGCACAACATTAAGGAAAGACTGGCAATCGATTTTTAATGTCCAAGGCTTGGAATACGAGATACCGAATTAATTCTAAATAGTAGAAACATCAAGTGTCCGAGCTCAAATGGTATCATCTCAGAAATCATAAATCCCTTGACATCATGAATACAATACTAACCCAAACCGATTCCCCAACTCCAACTCTAGAAGACAGGAACAATATTTTCGTTATTACCATCAGTGCCCTCAACGTACCAAGCATGGTGCACAGTCTTCAAACTGCCCAGTCTCTTCAAGCTTGTCGAACGGCTGACGCTGCCCATTCTTGACACGCCCTGTCTCAAGCTCTTGAATCGTGTGATGGGGGGTCTGTTTTCTGCGCCATTCACCGACAAGTGCTGGTCTCTCTGTGCTTCGACTGACTTGGATCGGGGAATGACATCAATGTGGTCTGGGACACCGGTCTGATATTCGCTGTCTGATTGTGTCACACTGATCTGAGGTCCCAGCACTTCCTTCATGCTATCCTGACTGGCGTGGCTGGAAACTGATGCCCGGTCACGGAGGTCAACCATCTCAAAAGCATCTTGCTCGTCCTTGCCGCCGACGAACGAAAAAGGAGTCTGAGGACGATCTGCTGGTTCACCGCCAGCCGTCAGTTTGGAGTATTGGGGGTCTCGCTCATTTCCAGGCCCCTGCATGGCAGTGCTAATCATGTTGATCAGAGTGCCTGCACTTTGTTCGCCACTTTGGCGTGCGAGTTGTTGACTTGGAAGAGGGGCTGCCGCTGTTGACGTAGAGGTCTTATCCTTCTTGCTGAGACGACGAGACAGGGAACGCGCAAGGGAAGAATTACGGAACAATTTGAACTCTTGCTTGGTTGCCTTGCTTACCAGAGGAGAGTCATCTCCATAGTTTGAGAAGGGAGAGTTGACCGCTTTGTATGTCGAGGCCGAGGGAGGAATCACGTCGATCTTGGGATACGTTGGGTGATTTCCAGGCGCATTTGGCTGGATGGTGAGACCAGGTCTCATGGCGGGATGGTTCGCCATCGGCATTGGAGCGGTTGCAGGACCTGAACCATTTGGACGGAGCTGGTCGAATGGGTTAGGTACTGGGGCTGGCCGCTTGTACCTTCCACATTTCGTGCAACACCGCGTTCCAGTTGATGAGCTTGGTGAACCAGAAGGCCCCGCGGTGCTTTCTGACAGTCTGGATGACGAGCCGTGAGACGTCTGCCCTTCGGAAAAAGTCCGAGCATGAGTCGTCGCGGTGGGCATTGGAACGGGTGCAAAAGCGGGAGGAGTTGACTCTGGCGCATTGGACTTGCGTTTCCCACATTGATTGCAACTGTGTCCGAGGCCATTACTTTGACCATGTTTCTTTCCACAGTTTCCACACTTGTGCGTATTTGACAAAGCACTTGCTACCTCGGAGGGGTTGATGGGATCGGACGCTTGCCGTTTGTATACTGGTGGCAGCGCACCATCGTGCATATCCTTCGCGACCTTGACTATCTTTGGCTTCTCCTTCTCAGTAGCAGGGTTGGATCCAGGGTATGGCTTTCCATCGAGGCGTCGCAGGTCGACCGATTTTCTTTGGTCGGCACTGGGTCTCTGAGGTTTCGGCGCTTGCAATGGTGCTTGCGAGGAGCGCTCGATCGGACTTGATTCAGCGATCGGCGAGACTGGGGAGAATGGCGTTGGTTGCTGAGAAGTGTTTGATACTGGGCCTGGGTTGAAGTTTGGGGAGAAAGGGTTCGTGTCAGGCAGAGGATCATTGTAGGAACTGGGTAACACGGCCGTGGTGACGGGCACGGGCGGCTGCGCGCCCTGTGGCAGATTCTCATATGGCACAGCATTCTGAAGAGAGCCGGGGGAATTGGAGTTGGATTTGCCTGGGTAGGCGGGTGGAGGATTCTTTGTCAATTTGGTCATGGTGTCTTTCGTAAGGCGTATGGTGTTCACAATTTCACACGGGTGTAATAGAATATAAGGACCGGATTATGGTAGGATTGGAGTCAAGGAAAAGGCACAGAAAGAGCCCGAGGGAGAGGTTGGGTTGTGGGTTTGTGGTATCGGAGTGAGGGACGGTGAGTTCCAAGTTAGTAGTCAAGGCACCGGAGGAGATCGACACCGTCAACACTCCCCCGAAAAGGGAACGGTCAATGAACGAACGGAATTGCAGGCGCAAGATTGCAGATGCAGAAGCGGGTGCGGGTGCGGGTGCAGGCGCAGAAGTAGATGTGAGGAAAAGCAAGAGTGGAAGTGTGTCAACAGGAATGGAGACGATGTGGGTGGACGACAGGCAGATATGGACAGAGATGGACACCGACGGCGGATGGTTGGCTGCAGCCGATGCCTTGGTATTGCTTTGTTTGCGAGCCGAGCTATACTGACATGACCTAAATCACCTAAATCACCCACAGGCTATGCAGGCACAAGGTTAGGCTTGGTCAGGGCAGGGTTAGCATCAGGATGGTGGGATGGTAGCAGTCCGGCACTGCACACGTCTGGCTAAAAAGAGGCGGTAGGCACCTGGGCATTGAGGGGCACCAATTGAGCACCTAAGGCATCATGGCTTTGAGGCTGCTCGGCTGCTAAAACCGGCTCAACTGTGGCGGAAGGACACACAAGTCCTCCTCCATCATCTCCCAAACTACGGTCCGAACATGCCAATAGTTGTTCAGGGGAGCAAAGTCCACCAGTTTGGGTCAAGCTGAGGCAATGCGTTTCATGCTTCGGTGTGCGACGTCGAGGTGAAGAGCGAGGTACCTCCCATTAGCGAGCGGCCGTAACCAAGTCCTAGGTACCTTGTACCTCAAGACTTCGGACAGCTACTCTTCGTACTCGGTATTTGGGAAAATGGCCCCCTTGGGCCCTCCCCTGGTCGGTGACTGGGCCTGAGGAGCAGCGCTGCCCAATGCCCAGAGGCTGCGCCACCCCAGAAAAGGGGGAGAAGCTCGTCTCCAATTCCCCATGCAGCCTAGTGTCACCGTGTGGCTTGTCCGTTGCTATCTTGGGCACGCTCTAAACAAATCAAGCCTTGGCAAGAAGCGGGCAGGGGGGTTCTTTTCTTCTGCAGCGAGAAACAAGGCTTTTCTAGCTGCCCGCCACGAGATTGGAGTATTTACCACCGTCTTGATATTATACGGTGCTGCATAAAGTCGGGTCCGTACCGAGAGCTGTGCTCCCCTTCGAAGCTTAGCTGGATGGGTTGGTCCGCGAGAACCAAATGCCTTGTATCAACAGCCACCATTTTCAAATAAATTATATGCGCAGAGCGCAGAGGAACAGAAGGATCAGGATTATCGCTGAGCTCTATCAATTCACCCGAGTAAGCAATAGGTGGTTGGACACGATCTATTCCTGGCAGGAACGGCGATCTCAGACACATGGTTTGCTGCGTGAAGTCCGAGCACACTGGACAATGTAGAGCCTTGATAGGCTATCCATGTTCCCTGAATGTCCAGGTCGGGGGGAAATATCAGCATCACTGCAGGAAGGAAGAGCGACGGTCGCATGATCACGAGGTCCGCTCCCGCAGTTGTATCGCCCAAGCACGGTGTTGTTTCCGGATCAATGAACAGGATTTTGCCAGCCGTCTTGCCACCGGCATGTACGAAGGATGAACAGACTGCCATCCTTCACTCCATTTTTGTCAGCTCCTCTGAGGGATATATGTATGGGAATACGTTGCTCGAGAATGTATAAATAACAACGGCATGAAAACAGTTGGCTCGATCGAGGCTCCATTCGCGTGCTGATGCCGTCACGACGGTCCTGGGTTTGACAGCCTGTCTGGACTCTGGAAGCGTGGGAGCTCCTGTTGCTCAGACCTGTAGCTCGCTTCATAATCTGTCCAACCTTCCCGCCGTATCGGACCTTCATGGCGGTTTTGCAAGAAGCATGTAATAGGGTTAAAGATCCGATGAGGCAAATAGACACTTGCATCGGTGTATTGACGAAGCCGTCCCTGCGCAGAAGTCCAAGCCGGGAAAATCAAGTCGCATATGTGCAACCTCTGCATGCCGGTACATTTTCGTCCCTGTAACTGTATCTGTGCAGCATGCCTACCAGTGACATCTACCGATTCCTGGGATACGAGAGCCGTCTGAGGAGGCGCCTATCATGCGACCTTCCATTGAATTGGTGTGATATAAGGACCCGAGACTGGCTGGCAAATTAATAGCCTGTTGTTTGGAGGCCGACACGGTCTCTTTGCGCCTGAAAGGCTGAAGATCAAATGACAGTCGCACGCCCAAAACACTTGGCATATAAGAGGTATGTTTCAGACAGATCAAGGTTTGCCAGATGACAACCATAAAGGTTGTCGAACCGTGACGGTACAAGAGTCGTGTCCATCCACGGATGAACCCCTTCATATGTAGGTACTTGCTTGATGCGCTTGTAGTAGACTAAGATAATCTCATACTGACCGATGCTCAAGGATGGTGCTCCCACAGACGCGGGCATGGACATCGCTAGCCTGTCGACAGTCTAGTTCCAAACAAGGTACGTATTTGTACTTCCAAGGTGCATAATAAGAGTAGCTAGGGGAATGCTGGAAGCACCTGGCCCCAGGAGGGCAGACTTGCTTGGTATAGTATCTCAACAGTCAGAAGAGGCTCATTTGTAGGACAGGTACATGGACCTGGTCAAGTGAGCTGAGGCAGGACAGGTTGTACGAGGTAGAGCTCCGAACACTATGGCCCTTGGCTCAGGCCTGATTGCACAGTTTGCTGACAAGCACTAGACACTTTGAGCTTCTCTTTTTCAGTCTGTGCAACACTTGGCACTGCAAAGGCGTTGTATGAGCCGCTTCAAGACGGCCCACAGCTAACTTGAATTCAGCGGTTTTCACGAGTCATCCGTCGGCAAACCTGATCTGATGGAGAAGGGTGGTGCGGCCGAAGCAACGCAGGGACGTCGACCAGGT